CCAGGAGACATCTCATGGAGACAAATGCAGGAAGTTGGCTAGTCCAAGTGGGAGACTGTAAATCCTGCCCTGTCCAGATAGGGCATCCTTCCGTGTCCTTCAGTTTGTGCTCACGTCTTTGTTGTTATAGGCTCAGAAACTTCATGAACCCAAATACCCAGTCATTTCAGGTGCTGCCACCCCTTGGCAAAGAGGGCACCTCTGCTCCATCACGTCCCCACCCTTCCTCTCGCAGGCCCAGTTCTGTGACGTTAGAGTTCTTCTCCAGTGGGAGGGAGAAAAATGTCACTTCCCAGCTAGAGAGCAGCCCTGACTCAATTAGGATACAGTGTAAGCATTACCTCTGCATCCATGGGGCAATTAGATTGTAACTAGATTGTCTAATGTGTTGTTCTTAAAGACTATACGTGGATTTCCCCCATTAATTTCAACTCTGGAATGTTTGGTACTACATATTTTCCCTGGAGTGGATGGGCTTCCGTTTCATGAGACATGGTCTTCCCACTAAGACAGCTAAATTAGATTTTCTGATCAAAGCTAAAAGAAAATATATCTTAGCTCAACAGTATCTAGGTCAAACAGTTAAGTATTTAAAATGTTTGAAGGTCTTTTAGTTAGGCTGACCTGATATTTTTAATTCTTTTCCATTACCTAACGAGGGAAATGTAACCCAAGACCTGAGGAAGTCCTGCCGGGTTATGGTTCTTTGTAAATAATTCTTGTGAAAGAAACATTCATAATCTTTCCCCTTCCTTAATATACGTGGATATAACTTTTTAGACTGTCTAACGAGCTAATGACAGCAAGCTTCACCACAGATCACAAATTTCTTCTCACTAAATTTCATTTAGTCCCAGAATAATTTTTTATTTAACTACAAAGAGACCAGAAACCCATGTGACCTACCCTCTCACTCAGGTGATCCTCTGAAAGTCTGTTCATGAAGCCCACCTGAGGACCTAGTGATCCGAGGAAGCTCAGCCTGAAATCCAAGAAGAAAAGAACAGAAAGAAAGTGTTTGTCTGTGCTCGATTTAGGACCAAGGGTAATGATATGGCTATAGGACCTCATCTCTCATGTAAAATTCTAGGAATGTGTTATTGTTTTTCTGAATAGCTTTTTTACTTACATTTTAAATTGTCTTCCATTCTAAAATATGAGAAATTAGTAATCGTTCACCACCGACCACTCGGTACATCTTTCCCTGTGGTGAACACACTGTTTGCGCACCGATGGACGGTTGTAATGAGCGGCCACTGGTTACCAGTGGAGCGGAGAGGCAGTGGGGGCCATGTGAGTGTGTCTGCTGTCAGAAGAACAGGACGTGAGTGATACTTAGAGGAAGTCAGACCTAGGTCAGTTACAGAACAGAGATGACTGAGCCTGGCCATGTGGATGGCATCAGAACAGGCCACAGGAGTTACAGAACAGAGGTGACTGAGCCTGGCCATGTGGACGGCATCAGGACAGACCACATTTGTACAGACTGCAGCCTTTGTTGCAGGCTTTGAGCACTTGGAAAACCCAGCGACACTGTGCTATGATGTCAGTGCCCTATTGGTCCTGGGCCATCCGCCCTCTCTCAGCTGCCCTGAACCCTTCAGCCTTTCTCCTGGACACCTGAGGTCACTCCACTCCATGGTGACACTTGAAAGTCAGACATGTCAGAAGGTGATCATAGCAAAGAGATCAGAGCATTGCGCTCCTTGTGAACCTTTGTGCACCTGTATTTAGGCTTTAATGAAACCTAAGTAAACCACTGTTTCCTGTGTCATCCTTCGTGTTTTCATTTCCACGGTCCTTGTAGTAGACCTTTCCTTCTCAGTAGTGCCTGGAACTCGGGTATCAGTCATTGCCAAGAGCTGTGTGTTTTCACTTTGGTTTGGTACTATTATTTCTGAACACTGAGTTGCATTGGGAGCCTTGCCGAGGAATGACAAGGATGGCTTACACAGAGCGGTTACCTGGGAAGAAACAGAAAGTCTTGTTTAAGAGAAAAGAAAAAAAGTATACTTAGCTGGAAAATGACGAGGTAACAAAGCAAAAATAAAAATAGGATGGAGTATATTCACTATGAAAGCGTTATTTTCAGAAATGTGAGCACCTCAAATTATTCAGATTTTTTTTCCTGTTCAAGTCTGTACCCTTTTCGATGTTTGGTCATCACCTCTTGTTGGTTTCTAGAAATTTTAAAATATATCTAGATGCCAGTACTTTTGCCATATGGTGCATATATGTCTCCGTTCTTAGGCAGTCTCTTAATTCCCAGGAGAGCCCGTTTATCTCCTATTCTGAAGACCTGTGGGTCCACATCCCAGCTCTCCTGTGGAATGTGGCCATTGCTGAATGCAGCATGGCCAAGTTAGCCACATCTGAAAGTCTGACTTCTTGACATGGGGTTCCAAAGGCCACCCTGAGTCCTCTAGGTCCTGTGTTGTTCATTAAGACTTTTTCCCCTGCTCTGGCAGAAACAGTATCCAGGACAAGGATTGTTCCTGCAATCCCTTCTGAAGTTTCATTCCCTGAATTCCGACTGTCTGTCTCATGACTGTGCTGCTGGTCAGTGCTCAGCTAGAACTCAAGGGTGACCCTTGTCGATCTCTGGAGCTTTCAGTCACGGGAGTTCTCTCCTCTCCACTGCTCTGCTCGGCCAAAGCCCCTGCGTTCACCTTCCCGGAGGCCCTGTCTCCTCAATGCAGAATGCTTTTAGAGTTGTGTCAGTCAGATATGGAGGAGGATGGACATGCAGACAGCTGCCTTTGAGAGGAGAGGGGATTGCCTACAGCTCCCAGTGGTGGGGACATGCCACACCAGACAGGTCCACACAAGGAGGCACCCTTTTAGGCCAGGAGGCAGAAGGGACAGATGACCCAGAGCCTGTGTTGTGGGTTTCATGGAGGATGGGATGAGGCGGGCTGGGCACCTGGCTGGGGAGATCTAGGATTGCCTGTTATAATATCTAAAGTCTCTGGGTGGTCTCTTGTCTGGTACCTAATAGCCCTGGGGTGATTTCAAGAGGAGGAAGGGGATGATGCTGGGATGCTCTGTCGGAGTTTCCAGAGAGTAAACACTGGGGATTTGAGACTTTGTTGGGGTGGCTTGCAGAGGAATGGTGTGTTGTTCACTGAGAGTCTGTCCCTGACCTACAGAGTATGGATTTCTGGCAATAGGAGCTTTGATTCCATACCCTCCATTGGATAACACTCCAGCCTGGGAGTACAGTAGAAAGGCCACCTGGAAATGTTGGGTGCTTACTGATAAAGCTCACATGTGGGCTGTAAGAGGGCCTAACCACTACATGGCAGCCAAGGAGGGGCCTCCCAGGTCTCACAAGTGTGACTTGAATTCTACTTCTCTGTGGCACCAAATTGTGACTCGGTGCCTTGTAGTTGGTATTTTGATAAAATCTTGTACCCAAGAACTTGTAGTAAAGTTAGAAGCATCTAAACTTTAGCCAGTGTTAGTCAAAATGATTTCTGAATTAAATCTGTTAACAGAGCCATAAAGTCTTCCTCGTGAAATCTGAGGGGTGTCACATTTCTAGATGTTTCCAGAGACAGAAAGTGTAATCTCTTAATGAAGCCTTCTGAGTTGTAAAAGTGGCAGCCAACGTGTTTCAATTGCTTGTTTCCAAACCCCTCCATTGGGAAAATCTCAAGTGGATTTTCATTTCCAATGGCAATAACCTCACCGAGCTCCTCCACTCCTGAGATGAGTAAGATGGATTTCATTTGCCCTCTGGCCTAAAACAACTGAAAAAAAAAAAAAAACAAACAAAATGTGAAAGCAGAAGTTGTTAAGACACTGGGTGCTGGACAGCGAAAAGCAGAGGTTCTGAGAAAAGGGAAACCAGTGAAGTGAATTTTACAATTCTCTGCTTTTATCGTTTGATGTTCCCAGGCTGTCATGGGGTGGGGGAGAATACAGGAAGGGCTCTTCTCACTTGCCCGAAGGGTGTTGGTCATGCTCTTGTGACCTGTGATGCATTGGCATCGTGGGGCCTTGCTGGCCAGGGTCGGCTGCCCCTCCCAGGGTCAGCTAAACCTTGGAGACAGGTCCTCTGTAAACACACCTTGCCTTTGCCAGCCTGCCAGAGAGCTCATGTACATCTTTTAGACTCCCATTCCTAACATCACATAGCACTTGGCCTCTAGAGGAAGGAAGCATGAATTTGTTGAAATTATATTTGATATTTGTGTCTCTTCTGTATATTCTAAGTGTTTAACTGTTTGTTTCTTTGTTTTTTAATGAAGCTAATGCTGCCTACCTCGGAGGCCAAGAAATGATACAAGTGCGGAAGAGAGCTGATGAAATCATAAAGGAACATTTACCTAAGGTAAGCACTTTGAGGCTGCAGGCACATCAGTTGATGGGGAGAAACACTGACTGAGGGCACGAGGCTAGAACTGGCTAAGAACTGAAGGCGTTGAGCCTTTGTGGATTTAGACGAGGTTCCGTTACCCTTGAAAGTTACATGGAGAAAGTAAAGCTGATGACAGCTACAGACGTTTATTTTGCCACTTGTTTTGTTAAATTGATTTTAAAAAATCCGTGCTTTTAACAAAGTATTAAGCTGAGAAGTCTCAATAGCACTGTAGAATAAATGAGTTCTATTGAAGTGTAACAATTCAAACAGTGGAGAGGAGCTAACCTTGCATGTGACCTAATGAACAGGAAACCTGGCTTTCTCATTCTCCAACACACAGGGCTGTCTTGTTCTCACATAAAAAGCAGCTTTCTGAGCTATCAGGATATGTGTGATACCTGCAAATGCTAGACTCACTCACACAAACATTTGGAAGTGCCACTATCTGAAGCTCTAAAGCCACCATGATTTAGAATATGCCCTAAGGTCCTAATACGTAGATAGCCGTGGGGCTTCTGGAACATCATCTCTCTGTATCATCCTGCAGAGGGTAGATCTGCGCTGATTTTTGTTTGTTTGTTTTAGATATTTATTTATTTATTTTATGTGCATTGGTGTTTTGCCTGCACGTATGTCTGTAGAGAATGTTACAGATACCCTAGAAATGGAGTTACAGACAGTTGTGACTTGCCATGTGGGTGCTGGGAATTGAACCCGTAACCTCTGAAAGTGCAGCCAGTGCTCTTAACTTCTGAGCCATCTCTCCAGCCACATTCTGCACTGTTTTTGTTCAGTTGCTTTAGTTCCATAAAACTTGGGCCCTTACACATGCTGCAGGCACATGACCTGCGCTGAACTTCACCCCAGCCCAGAGCAGCACTGTTAACCTCCCACACCCACATACCAGCAGTAATATGTGTAGTTAGTTTGAATTGAGATGTTTCATAAGTTAAGTGCACATTGACTTTCAGGACATTAGTACCTGGTGCTCAGGATGCAGATTAGTGGTAGAGAGTTTGCGTGGTACTGTTCAGGACTGAGTTCAGCCTCAGCACAGGCAGAAAAACATTAGTAGCTTAGGAGGAAAATATGTCATTAATATATTGATTACATTGAAATAGTTTAGATGGATTGTAGTGAATATGTTTAAAATACATCTACAGTAATTTTACTCATTCCTTCAGACTCTTTAACACCGTTACTAGAAGTTTCTTGAAGTGCATGTGTGCCTTGCTGTGTGCCTCTGGAGATGACACTGACCTAGAACTTTACAGCTGGTGTGGAACACTGACATCTGCTGGGGACAGTAGAATGATCCCTGATCATTCTACTGATAGGGCCTGCAGGTCAAATCCTAGGTAGCGCACTGCAGTGAAGATCTCTTCTTAACTGTGAGACATTAGACTGAAGCCTGTCCACAGTGGTGATTCATAGTTCTCTAACCCCCAACACAGCTTTCTGAAAGCAAGCATTATATCTGTTGCTTAGAAAAGATTTCCTTGTATTAAAAATATTCACTCCAGCAGTACCTGGGAAAATGCTATTATCTGTTGGTTTATGTCATCATATTTACATCATCATATGATCATCATATTAGTGGTC